TGTTGTTCAGCATCTTAGCTGTGGAGGGCAGTGTCACTGGCCCTCATATGTGGGATCCAAACCGGGGCCCTCTGGTGTCCCAAGCCAGCTCTTAACCATCGTGCCACTTGGCCGGCCCTACAATGATATCTTAATGGTAGCATTTAGATGGTGATCTATGGGTTTTCACTGTAAAGGCTTTCAACTTTTCCATATGTTTAAAAATGTCCATAATGTTGGAAAAAAATATCAAGCGCATTCATTTTCTAGGCAATGAGGATATAAGAGGTGACTGAGGGAGAGTTTTCCAGGGGAGCTTATCCAAGGGAAGTTAACTAGTATTTATGTAGTTCCTACTGCAATCCAGGGGCAAAGGCAGGGACAACAATTGATTTTTATCTTCACAAAAACTGGGTGTGGAAGAGCAGGCATGAAACGCGTGGTGAGAATGGGCTCCGTTTTGAATAGGTATGTTTTACGATCCTAGGTATCTAAGTGGCGATATCTACTAGACTGTTGGACATACAGGTTAGGAGATTCGCAGAAATCTGGGATACAGATAAATGCCACGGTCATCATATCTTTGGGTACCTTAGCTGTTTGGTCACTGAGCACAATTTAATAACTGTTATTATTTTAATAATACTTTCATTTTTAAATACTGTCTCAAACATTTGCCCCCACCCAATCTAGTATTCCTTGCTTGTTGGCCTGTTTATTATTCTGTGGGAATTACAATAAGAATAGAAACTGTACAAATAAAAAGTGGCAGAATAATTGTACAAATAAAAAGCTGCAAGATTACAATGTAGCAGATATAAGGATCTTAGGGATTTCCATTACATTCGGTGGCTAATATTTGGGAAGTACCTTTATATTGGGAAATAGTTCTTTGGTGCTCACCTGACCAAATAGAGCTCTGTATTCCATGGGTAGATATTTAAGACTGGCCCAACCCCAATCATGTGGTTGTGACTTTCTCCAACATTTTCAATATATTCATGCTTCAAGGGCACTTTGCTGAGGAGTTCAAATTCCTCAGGTGCCTTTTGAAGGACCTGCTGTGCTGCATAGAATCCATCTACTAGCAGTGTCCTGCCACCTGTTCCTTCAGGCTTAAGACAGTGAAACACTTGAATGCTAAAGAGGGAAACAAGTTACATTCTTCTGTTCAGTGCAGAAATGAGAACATATCAACATTTGAGAAAATTATATGTGAAACGATGACTGAATCTACTTGTCTCATTTTCTTTTCATGAAGAAGTAAATCTAATTTCCTAATTGCTTTTCCCTCATAACCAGTTGTACTTTTTTTGCGCTTTGAAATATTCATGTCATTACATGTTCCTTCTAAATGTATTCAGCATGTATGGAAGCCTCTATGTGTCAGGCCCTGGGAGTATAGGCATGAGATAACAGTCTCTGTTCTAGAAACCTATAGTCTAGTACAGAGAGATGGAGCAAAGAAGTACCAAGAAAACATGATAGGTGTTATAATTAAGTTGTATACAAGATATGGTGGGGCCACAAATAAGGAAATCATTTTCATGGGGCATTGTATAAAGAAATGCTTCAGAGGTGGATGGCAATAGCTTTGCTTAGTCTTAAAAAATGAGCAAGAGTTGGACTGGAATGAGACTGAGCCGAGGAGAAGGCATTCCAGTCAGAGAAAAGTATGAGCAAAGATACTGCTGTAAAACAACAAGGTCTATTCAAGAAAGAGAATAAGAAGTTTCTATAGGCACAGCACATAGAACCAGGGAAGGATTTTTAAACAGGGAAACTCCAGGGTTATAGTCACGTTTTAAAGACTTGATTGTGGCGATAGCATGGCAGATGGACTGGTGGGAATCAAGGTAACAGAAAACTTGGATACCTGAAATACTGCAGCAAAACACTGAGGGTTTAAGCTCAGAGAAGTGTGTTACAGAACAGAGGACACACCTGAGACATACTACAGAGGTATAGGTAGACATCGACATAGGTAAACGGGGAGGTTTTGATACCTGATTAGATGTGGAGGATGAAGAACAGACCCAAGCCTAGAGTGACTCCAGGTTTTCCATTAGGTAACTTGATGGATGATGATGTCATTTGCTAAGACAGAGCACGTGGGCAGGTGTGTCATTGGATGACATCGGGGGACCTGAGGGGATGAGGAAGAAGCTCAGCTTAGAGGCCTGTTGCAATACTTGGATCATACATCGCTGACTGCAGGTGTTAACAGGGAACGGAAAGGTGGCAACTAATGAACTTGAAAACTCCAGTCTTCAAAATAACAAGTAGAAAATAATCTTAATAGAAATGGAGAGAAAAAGCAAAAATAAGGAAAAGTGAACAACAAAGTAAAATAAATGCACATAAAGATGGAAGGAATAACATCAAGGGGAACCTAATATAAATACAATTAAAATGAAAAAGGTCACGTCTGGCCATGTTGAGCTTTCTAAGAAACTTCTAGGTGAAGGTTCTCTAGTAAGTAGCCAGTTGAATAGGTTAAACTCAGAAGACAGGTAGATTTTGTATTGTCTGTAGGTGATAGCGAAAGCTGCGACCATGAAAGAAGTCATTTGGACTGATCATTTCAAGTAAGAACACGGGGACAAGGAGAAAATCTTGAGAAACAACAGTATTTAGGACGCGCTCAGAGGAAAATACGCCAGCACAAGGGGCTGAGGGAAAATGGTCAGAGATATAGGAGGAAAACCAAAAGAGAAGAAATATTTAATAGGTAGTGGTTAATGTCACACTCCAGGGGCCAAGTCAGATTAAGACTGAAAGACACATGCTGGGTATGGCAATGAGTTAGCTGCTGGTGACTGCAGAGGATCATCTTAATTGGGAGTGGGCTGGATAAACTACCTGAGCATGGGTTTGAGGAGTGAACGGGAAATGAAAATGAAAAGATACTGAATGTAGATAATGTTAAAAGTAAGTTTAGCTGTGAAGGGAAGAAGTAAGTTGGGGCTGTAGCTGGAGGGAAGCAGAGTCCAAGGAAGGGCACAAAAGCAGAGATTTAAGATGTGAGAAGCTGATAGGAAAGAGCTGATAGGTGTGGAAAGGCTGAAGCTCTAGGACAGGAACATCCCCAAGGAGGTTGTGAAGGATAGATTTACACCAAAGGTAGTTTTAGAAAGGACAAGGCATGTGATGATGATGATGACGACGCCGACGCCAACAATGGCTAAAATAATAACAACAAGAGCTAGTATTTACTGAGCACTAAATAGGTGTCAGGAGATATGCCAAGTGCTTTCAATCCATCATGCAATTTAATCCCTAAGCAATACTAATGGATAGGTTTTATTACCTGCCCCATTTTACAGATGGAAAACTGAGGCGCAGAGAGGTTACAGTACTTTGTCCAAGATCACAAAGCTAATACATGTTTCAGCTGGGATGCAAATCCCAGTCTGGTTGAGGTCATAGCCGGAATTCTTAACCACTCTTCCTATACTTGCCATTGATTAGAAAGGGTTAAATTAAAGGCACAGACAACTGCTTATCTCTGGTAGTGGTCAGACACAGAAAAGCTAGTCAGTATGTGAACCTCAGCCCCTGTCCAGCTGCTTCTCATCCCATCTCCTCTTTCTGTATTCTGCATTCCCTAGAATGAGGATGCAGGGCTGCTGGTCACTTCATATGTGGATAACATGGAGCAGGATCTCTAAAATATGCTTTATTCTTCCTCCCCAGAACCAAACATCCTTAAGTTCCAAACCCCTAAAGGAAATCAATGTAACCACAATCAATCACATATTATCCCCCTCTCACATTGTCTTTATAAATCCATACATACATTCACTTTACTACTATCATTGTGCCTCAGGCTCATCACCTATATGCAGAAGCAAGATCAATAACAACAACAACATAACAACCACAGAGGTACCGCTAATAAGCGGCAAATGGAAGGAAAGTAAAGTGTGGTATCTATTCATCATGCACATAATTAACATTTCTTCTTTGTGGTGAGAACAATGAAAATCTTCTGCCTGTTAGCTACTGTGGTAATTATATCACCATATATAAGTGTATCCAATCAGCACATTGTCCACCTTAAATTTACACAATGTTAGAATGTTAGATATCAATTATAAAGATGGAGGGAATGTATGGTATATATCATTTTTGGCTCAATAGCTTCTGGCTCGATGTGAAGGTAATTTTCCATTCATTCCTTCTCTCCAACTTGTTATAAAATGGATCCAAAGTCCTCTTATACCATATCCAAGGTGGCTATGTTTGGAGCATTGACCCCTTTGCAATACAATAACTAAATATAAGAAAATTGTACAAATTCCAAAACAAATGGTTAACCAATACTTTTCTTGAGTAAGTTATTTGTAATTATTGGGTTGTCGGAAAACCCATGATGCCTTTTTGCACCGAAAAACATAGAAAATATATGTCATGACATTTCTGACAACCTAATACTTTGAGAAAAAATTCAAATTTAATTAAGAGACATTTATGTAGTAAGGTGAATTTTCAATCATTTCAAAAACATTTATTTCTATAAGTCTAAGCGAGGGTGCTTCAAAACGGTCATGTTTCTAGAAGAGACAGAAAGAGTCATACACGTCATCATGAGCAGATATGATCTTGGTTCAGATAGAATGGAAAATAATTAAGAAACTATTCAAGACCATCACATTTAAAGAGCCCACTCTGGAAAATTCTAATTCACTTACCCACAGGGCTCTTGAAAATAGGTAGTTCAGTATGCCGATCCAGGGCTAGCTTGGTGTACGTGTTGTCATCCCTGGAAAAGTTGGAAGTGAAATACCACATCCTCCCATGGATGGAATACAGGAAGACCTTTTTGCGCTTTGAAATTTTCACTCGTCTTTGAAAACTCTTTGTAATACTTTAATTATTCACAAATAACAATAGATTGTTGGCTCTAGATTTCTATCTATGAGGTGAAGATGACAGTGGAAAACACCACCAGTCAGTTCTGCCACTGATTAATATTCTAGGAAGGGAGGGGGGGACTGCGGACGTATAATGTAGTCTGAAAGCTTAGAGAATCATCTCACTCTGTTCACGTGCCTACTTTTAATAGCTTTCCATTCAAGGTTCTTTGCTGCGCTCAGCTTCCTTGCATAGAAAATAATGTTTTTATGCAGCTGCTTTTAGAAGTTATTAATGAAGATACCCATCTTTTGGATGTGGAGGAATAAGAAAAAGAGAAAAGGGTAGTTAATGTTAGCAAGTATTTAGTGAGACTTGCTGTATCACTGTTGTGTCTCTCCCTGAGATATATACCATAGGTTTTGATTTTATAGTTATTTTCCTGGTGAGCTCAGGGCTGACTCAAGTTCCCTTTAATTCTTTAGCTTTCAAGTTCATCTAGTCTCTGGATCCTCAAAGTCCAAACAGGAAATGTTCTTCCTCTTCAACTATAATCCTTACAGACCTCTCAATTTATAGCTCACCAGCACAGCTTCTTGTACTTGAACTTTCTCAGCCTGTGTTTCAAGTTGAGTGGTTCACAAATGTTGGGTGTGCTCTTCTAGAATACGGTGAGTGACCCTGCATACTATCCGGTGTATGCAGTGTCACACAATGAGCTATATCTGTCTCTTCTTAAGACAAAGGAAAGCACCGATTTCTAACAAAGGAGGTTTACATTACATCTGATACCACAAAAGATCAATCTATGTACTGCCTCGAAATGCAGGCTAGAAAGTGGAAAGAAACACTGTACTTAGAATCAAGAAACCCGAGCTATCTGAACTCCAGGCCTACTGACTACTAGCAGAGCAATACTGGGCAAGCCACTTGACATATCTGAGCCTCAAATTCCGTACCCCTAGAATAGGATAAAAGACACACTTATCTGGATTGTTATAATGGCCAAAGAAAACAATAGGTGTGAATATGCTGGTTAAATGGTGGAAGGCAGTATTATTAACAACCAGTCTCTTAAGAATGAGAGAAGGTCAAAATGGGATGATCTTTGGACACCATTGCATTCAATCCTCTCATTGATCAGACTGGAAAATAGAGTCCACTGGGGGGTGTCGAGAGAAAGGGTTTGTGTGTAATGGAGTTACCTATGTTCATACAACTGCTCGATGGTAGAACTCAGACGAGCAACTGGTTCTCTTTACTCACAGTGCTCACTCCAGTGCCCAATGACACCTCTCACGTTCAGGATTGCTGGGCTCAAAAAACGTATCAATGACTTAGAAGTCTTTACCGCATTTACCATATAAGGGTCTTTAGAGATTAAAGATCTGCACCTCAACTAAAGTACTATCAGTGGGAATCCCCTTATTCAAGCCACACAATATTATGGATTATAAACAAGGGTGGCCAAACTTGCTACATTATTTTATTGGTGTTCATGCTCTGGAAATCAGTCACTGCAGATATCAGGAAACTGATGAGTTATCTGATCAAGCTGATCCTTTTTGCTAACTTCTCAGTGTGTTCTTGAGTGGGAGGGACATTTTCTACAAATGCAATTCCGTAGAGCAGAAAGTTTTGCAGGAGGCTCTCCAGTCTCTCACTGGTTTCTAGAAAGCTCTGGAAATCTACAGGTGGCACTTGGGCTTGCTGGTAGATTTCAGAATTCCAGAAGATTCTAGGCTGGATGACCTTTTGTTTCTGTCCTTTATAGCTGTTTCTCACCAGGCAATCCAAATCATATTTAGTCACATGATCATCTGGTCCTTTTAAAGGAAACAAGAAAAGGCATTAAAATACTAATTATAAACACTGCCAATAATTTACTGGTTAAGAATGTTATTTTTAGTGGTCAGTTCCCCAGTGCTGTATTGTGTATGAAACCAAATAAGAATGAGTGCCTACAATGTTCCTGACAAAGAAATACTTGAAGGTTGAGTAGTATGAATTAATAAGTGAATGAATGAACAAATAAATCTTCCCAGCAGGTAGGTAACTTTATGGAATTATAACTCTGGAGCATTTATCAAGTCATCAAAGAATGATAATGAAAAAAATATTTTGGCTTCCCGCCACAGGATAATGAATGTATCATAAAGAATAAGCAAAGCATAAAAAAGGATGAGGAAATTTTAAAAATCACCTATACTTATCATGGTATGATGAAACCACTACTAACAGCTTGGCACCCAAATGAGACTGCTTCTAACTCCAGGAGTTTCATATAGTTGCAGGTGTTTTTCAGACAGTTGGGTGATGGCTCTATGGACAAGCTCATGTTGCTCTTTAGCTTGTATGGCAATGTGCCTCTGTGTTCTCATATCTTGTATTAAATTAAGTACATTAAATTCCTCTGGTATTTTCCCAGCCCTTAGTAAATTCCACATATAATCTACAGCCCAAATAGCAACTGCTTTTCCCCAGCCTGCACTGCACATATTCATGTTCTTGGTATTTCCTCCTCAAGCTTGTCATATCCAGAATAGCATCCAAGGATGAGGGAACAGCATGGTCTGGCCACTTCACGTAATGAAACTGACACAGCCCACTGTGTTCGGTCTCAAGTTCAAGTAAGTGTGTCCCAATGAACTCGTCTGTTGTTGCTTGTTCAGCTTCACAAGGAATTTTAAGTGGTGCAAATGTTACAGGGTCTTCTCCATACTAAGGCCGATAGTGCCTGTGTGTCCACAGTTCATTCTTTTGTACTGCTGAGTACTGTTCCATTATATGGATGGTTTGTTTAATCATTCAGTCATCGATGGACATTTGGGTAGTTTCCAGCTCTTGGCTTTTATAAGTAAGGCTTCTGTGAACATTCTTGTACAGGTTTTTGTTTAAACATGTTTTCATTACTCTGGGATAAATGCCCAGGAGTGTAATTGCTAGGATGTATGGCAGTTGCATGTTTTATTTTTTAAGTAATTGACAAACTTTTTCACAGTAGCTGTGCCATGTTACATTCCCATCAGCAATGTATGACTGATAGAATTTCCCCAAATATTTTCTAGCATTTCATGTTGTCACTATTTTTTATTTTAGTCATCCTGTTAGGTAGGTAGTGAAATTTTATCTTGATACTAACTTTCATTTCTCTAATGGCTAAGGATGCTGAACATCTTTGCATGTGTTTATTTTCTATTCATATATTCTATTTAGTGCAATGACTGTAGTGTATGTTTTTTCCCCATTTTCTAATTGGACTTTTTTATGTTGAGTTTTGAGAGTTATTTAGTCCTAGCTCCAGTCCAGACCTAGTTCTAGATGCTCAAGTTGTACTCCTATGTTCTTTTTTTAGAGGTTTTACAGTTTTATGTTTTACATTTAAGTCCATGATCTATTTTGATTTGTTTGATCTGTAAGGTTTAAAACTTAGGTCAAGGTTCTTTTTTTCTTTTTTTTGCCTATAGATGTCCAATTGCTCTAGCTTCATTTGTTGAAAAGACTACCCTTTCTCCATTGGATGGCTATTGCACCTTTGCCAAAGATCAGCCGACTGTATCTGTGTGGGTGTATTTCTGGGTTCCTTTTTCTGTTCCATTGATCTATGTGTCTGTCCCTCCACTAACACCACACTGTCTTGCCTTAACATCAGGAAGTGATACTTTCCACTTCATTCTTTTTTCAAAATTGCTTTGGCTATTGTAGGACGTGTGCCTTTCCATTTAAATTTTAGAATAAGCTTGTTTATGTCTCTAAAAAATTCTTGCTAAGATTTTGATAGGAATTGCATCAAAACTGCAGATCAGTTTGGGAGAGAACTGACATCTTTACCACATTGAGTCTTCCAATCTGTAAACGTGATTTGCCTCTCCGAGTACTTAGGCCTGCTTTGATTTCTTTCATCAGCATTTTTTATACTGCTCATCATATAGGTCTTGTACATACTTTTTTACATATATACCTAAGTATTTAAATGTCATTGAAGCTAATGTAGATGGACATTTTAGATTTCGGCTTCTGCACGTTAACTGTAAGTATACAAAAAATGCAATTGATTTCTGTGTGTTCATCTTGTATGCTACAACCTTACTGGATTTACTTATTACTTCTAGAGGTTTTAGTAGACTGTTTGAAGTAGTCTATAGACAATCATGTATCTGCACATAAAAACAGTTTTATTTCTACCTTTCTAATACGTATTCATTTTATTTCTTTTTCTTCCCTGATCGTAATGATTACAACTTCCAGAACTGTGTTAAATAAGAGTGGCAAGAGTGAACATCCTTGCCATGTTCCCTGTCTTATAGGGATAGTGTTCCATCTCACCATTAAATACGATGTTACCTGAAAAGATGTTCAGTAACACTAATCATCGGGGAAATGCAAATCAAAATCACAATGAGATATCACCTCACACCTGTTAGGATGGCTATTATAAAAAAAGATGAGAAGTAAGAAGTGTTGGCTAGGATGTGCAGAAAAGGGAGCCCTTGTACAATGTTGGTGGGACTGCAAATTGGTGCAGTCACTATGGAAAGCAGTATGGAGGGTCCTCAAAAAATTAAAACCAGAACTATTACATCATCCAGCAATTCCTCTTCTAGGCATATATTCGAAGGAAATAAAATCACTATCTCAAGCTGATATCTGCACCCTCATGTTCATTGCAGGAGTTTTTACAATAGTTAAGACATGAAAACAATCTAAGTGTCCATTGTAAGATGAATGAATAATATATATATATATATATATATATATATATATATATATATATAATTCAGCTATAAAAAAGAAGGAAATGCTGCCATTTGTAACAATATGGATGAACCTTGAGGGCACTATGTGAAATGAAATTAATCAGACAGGGGAAAAAAAAAGAAAGAAGTCAAACAGAGAAATACAAATACCATGCTTATATGTGGAATCTAAAAAAAAAAAAGAAAGCAAACTCATAGAAACAGAGAGATTGGTGGTTACCAGGGTCAGCAGGTGGAGGAAATGGGTGATAGTGGTCAAAGGATACAAACTCCAGTTACAAGATGAACAAATTCTGTGGAATCTAATGTACAGCACGATGATATAGTTAACAATACTATATTGTATACTGGAAAGTTGCTAAGGGAGTAGATCTTAAACCCTCTCTACACAGACACAAAATGTATCTATGTGAGGTGATGGATGTGTTAACCAACCTTGTTGTGGTGATCATTTCACAATACATACAATGTGATGATTTCATATCATTGTACACCTTAAACTTCTACAATGTTACATGGCAAACATGTCTCAATAAAGCTGGAGAAATACTTTTAAGAAGCATGCTATTAGCTGTGAATCACAACAGTTTTATTTTAAAAGATAAAATGTTAAAAAAAATGCTTCCAAAGAAACAAAAAAGGAGAAGTAACCAGAAGAATACCTTATTTTGGAAACGGGCAAACCATTTTTTGCAAAGTAATTGTTCTTTAGAAGAGTATCCCAAAGAAGACTATATTTCCTTTCCACTCACAAGTGAAAAAGCGTGCGGTCTCATCCAGACAAATGGTCTTTGGCTTGATACGTAAATCTATGCTGGCAGTGTCCAGGCTGCACTGGTGAGTCTTAAGAGTTGTAGCAAGATGCTGAACGGCAGTGGTCTCGAAGCCAGACGTAATAAAAACGCATCACGGTGTTTGCATATTGTAGGTCTAGGGGGGAAATCACATTCGTTTATATTATTTATTAGGTTAATTTATATTCTCTATTTTATACAAATTAAAAAATATTTAGGAAAACTTAAAAATTCAGTAGCCAAAAAGCTCACATCAAAAAGTCTACCAAGAAACAAGCAAGAGCAACGAGGGAGGCACTAGCCCTCTACCAGATATTAAAACATACTACAGAACTTATATGATTAAAATAGTGTGATATTGCTATAGGAATAGGCAAATAAAACAATGGAAAAATATAAAGTCCAAAAATATACCCGAATGAATATAGAAATTTGGTATGTAATAAACTGGTAGTTACAATCACTGGAGAAAATATGAACTTTTAAACAAATGGTGTTGGCACAAATAGACAGCCATTTGAAAGAGATAAAATAAAATTAATTCTGGGCCAGCCGAGTGGCGCGTTGGTTAGGAGTTGGTTTGGGACCCCAGCTCTGAGCAGCAGGTCCCCGGTTTGGATCCCACATGGGGGCCAGTGATGTTGTGCCCTCTAGAGCTAAGATGGTGAACAACAGCTCGACCTGGAGCTGGGCTGCCGTGAGTCGCTGGTGACAGCGTAGGCTGCAGTGGGGCTGGCCAGCAGCAGACATGAGCTTTCATGAGCCACCGTCCAATTGTTGGTGACTGATCTGCCTCAACCGGGAAGAGCGCAATGACAATACCAACATGGGCCAGTGAAGCGACATCCCCCACAACTAGACTGAAGAACAAAAGGACAGCAACTTGTCTGTTCCCCTCCCCCAATTCCCCAATAAAAATCTTAATAAATAAATACATAAATAAATAAATAAAATAAAAATAAAATTAATTCCATACTTCATATTGTCACCAGATCTCTAAAATAAATTCAAAATAGATCAGAGTTCTAAACTTGGAAAATAAAACTTTTCAAGTATTTAAGTAACTTAAATACTTAAGTAACCATGAGCTCCATCAGTTCTACCAGGAGGAGAGGATATCAAGGAAGTCCTTGTTCTATTGTTGAACTCCTCTTGATACTTTTCTGTTAGTTTGAAGTTACAGAAAAAGAAAAAGTTACCAAAATTTTACTTTCCTATACACCAGGTTACTCATTTAGAAAAGGTAAATAAAACTGAAATCAAACATACAGAGGAAAAAAAACTATAAAGTATCTGGGAATAAACAAAAATGTGGAAGACTGCTATGGAGAAATCTATAAAACTATCATGATGGGCTTGAAAGAAACCTGAATGGAGAAATATGCTCCCAGATGGGCAGATTCAATATTGAAAAGATACAAATTCACCCAAAGTAACAAATTTGAAAAAGGAGAAGGAAGGAATGGGGGGACTGTCTTACTAGATAGAAAAATATATTATAGAGCTATAGTCATTTCAAAAGCATGGTATTTGTGCAGAACAGGTGAAGAGATCGAGGGAACAGAATAGAGTCCCAAAAGAGGCCGACGTGTATGTGGAACTATGGTAAATGTTAAAGGTGGCATTTCATAACAATGGAGAAAAGATGGATTACTCAATAACTAGTTTGGGAAAAATGAATACTTGAAAAAATGGATCCTGGCTTATATCATTCAAAATGTTAAATTACTGATAGATTAAAACATGAAAAATAAAACTATTATACGTTGACAACATTGAGGTAGGAAAGACCATCTTAATACAACACAAAAACCCAACAAGATAAATTTGTCTATATGAAAATAGTAACCTTTTGTTTTGCAAATAGTATGAAAGAGTTAAAAGACAAGCAACAGGAAAATATTTTAAACATAAAAGAATTAATACCCAGCATATAGAATAAATCCCTGTGATGATTAAGATAAAAACTCAATAGAAAAATGAGTGAGGGATATTAAGAGGAAAGTCACCAGAAGTGACTGACCACTAAACAATGAAACCTCCCCCAATCTTAGTGGTAATCAGAGAAATGGGGATTAAGATACCATTTTGTGTGTGTGTGTGTGTGTGTGTCTGTGTTCTTGCATTTTGCTATGGAGACAATCCAGAATTTTCAACAGAATTTCTATGAGATCCATAACCTAAATATATTGAAAACCATTCCCTTGGGGTGACAAAAGTGGAACCCTAAAATAATCCGTGGTTGGATAAACTACAGCCTGTGGGCCATATAGTATATAGCCCACGGCTTGTTTCTGTATGGTGTGAAAGATAAGAATGTTTTTACATTTTAAAAGTGTTTTAAAACAGAGAATACCATACAGCATAGACTCTAGTTATATCCCGCTCAGGGCTTATATCCTGGAGGGAGTCATTTATAACTTTTCAGTTGGGGTTAGGTGCCTCTCCTCTTTCTCTGTATGTTGCCTCAAAGCATTTATCACACTGTCTTAGAACTGTCTGTGTGTCTGTCTCTGCCACAAGCCTGTGAGCACCTTGAGGATAGGGGATGTGTCTTCTTCATCAATGCATGCTTAGCACTTATCACGATGCCTGGCTCCTGGTGGGTGCTCATTAAATATTTGCTGAGTAAATCAATGAGCAGTTTTGAGGCTGCCTTATTTGTCACTCTATTACAGGTGACACAATAGAAATGAGAAGGATCCTGTCATAAAAACTATTAGATTACTGCCCTATTAGATAGATACCCAGTAGTCCTGACTGCTACCTGCTATATCCCACGTTCAGCGTAGAACTTGCTAGGTACATACAATATGCATACAGGAGTAGACTAATGTACTACGTGGCTGGACTCATCTCTTAAGCTCTAAAAGATCCCCTCCATTTTAGTCAAGTTGGTACACTTATTGTCTTTCATTCTATGACCAGAGTTCATTTTTGCCTTTGCATTTGCCATTTTTCTCCTTGAAATTACAGGCTCCTCTAACTAAATGACCATATTTTCCTTCAAAATCTAGCTAACATGTCAGGTATTCCTGGAAGCTTCCTCGAATAACCCTACATTTTCTTTGAAATTAAGTATTTGGAAGGTATCAACTTAATTTGCATTTGCATATGGCATAAGCTATTGATGCTTCTTATATTTATTTACTCATTTTATGTTTCATGGATACTGCATCTTACATCAAGGCAGAGACTATGCTTCCATTTTTGGTTTTCTAGAAGTTCTCAGATCTGTATAAAACTGACACTAACCAAATGTTTATCAATGAGGTCTTGCCAAAATGTTGATACAAAAGAGAAACTTGGGGCTCATCTTCACTCATGTTTCTCATAACCTACATTTAGTCGATCACCAAGGTTTGTTGATTCCACCTCCTAAATCTCTCTGAAAACCATATGACCTCTCCATTTCCACTCATTTCTCCTGCCACATTCAGGCAATCACCATCTCTAACAGTGGGCCTCCATAGAGAGATTTTTAAAACCAAGGTAGTAAAATCAGATTGTACTTTGGAAAGAATGCTCTAGTTTCTTGATCATCAGGGAGAAAGGCAAGGCTGTATGCAGTAATCCTGTTACAATAGTTGCCTCCTTTCTCCTTTGAAGCTCATGTTGTCCAGTATAACTCTACCCTTCTTCATGATGCTAATCAAATAATTCCTGAGTCACTCTATTGTGAAATAAGTGAGGATCACTTTTTTACTGTCTTCCACTGTCACCCCTGTCATCCCTTCCCCTATCATCATTCTTGGGAATTTCATTACCATTAGTTGTGATACCTTCATAATTTTCATTTCAAACTCCCTACACTCTACCTCTTGTTCCCTTTCCAGCTCCATTATTCAGGCAAGCCTCACTCCAGTAATCATTCAGTCCCACAAAGAGCTTCAATCCATTGACCATAAGCTCGCTTTGTTATCCATCATCTTGTCACCTTTTCTTTTTTAAAAGATGTTTATTGGGGAATTGGGGGGAGGGAACAGCATTAGGGGAATTGAGGAAGGGGAACAGACAAGTTGCTGTCTTTTTGTTCTTCATTCTAGTTGTGAAGGACTTCGCTTCACTGGCCCATGTTGGTATTATCATTGCACTCTTCCTGGGCGAGACAGTCGCTTGCCGGCCATTGGACAGCTGCTCACGGCAGCTCAGGGCCACTCACCCTGGCTGCCCGCCACTCATGGTAGCTTTACCGCAGCCCACTGCAGCAGGGGCTGCTGCCTATGCTGTCGCCGGCAACCCACAGCAGCCCAGCTCCAGGTCCAGCTGTTGTTCACCATCTTAGCTGTAGAGGGCACAGTGTCACTGGCCCGCATGTGGGATCCGAACCGGGGCCCTGATGCTCAGAGCCTGCACTCCGAAGCCAACTCTTAACCAATGTGCCACTCGGCCAGCTGTCATCTTGTCTCCTTTAATGTGTTCACTTCCCTTATTATAGAGTCCAGCTTCCATGGTCCATCATTTTAATCGATTCCTCACAAACACCTTTAACTCCTTTGCCCTCCTCTCCCTCTGCCACACTTACCTGACAAAGCCCCAACCCTGATAAACTCAAGTTCCCACCTCTTCTATGCCTACAGGCAAGCAGCTGGACATTGCTAGAGAGAGGGAAAAAATTAAACTGCATTGGCTACTCTCATTTTAAAATTACCACCAAAAATCACAAATGAGTATTCAACACTGCCAAACATTCCTTGCGTAATTTCCTAGTAAAATCACTCACTCACTCTCCAAGATTATTTCACACTGTCCTCTTTTCAAACTGCCAACACCGCCTCTTCCTTCCCAATTTCAACTGATGACCTTGGTTACTCCTTCAAAGAGAATCTGGAAGCAATTAGAAGCGAATCTCCACAAACTCATGCTTCCCACCCACCCAATAGTCTTCCGTCCTATAGTCTTCCATCCTTCCTGCTACTATGGTTGAAATATCTGTGCACTGAACCAAGGCCAACATTTCCATTTATGAATTAGATCTCCTCTCTTCTCTCCTACTCAGGCACCACACTTGTGAAATTGTTCTATCGTTTTGCATCATCAAATGTTTCCTCCCTATTGGATCATTCTCATCAGCAAACATGTTGTAATATCTCCCATCTTAAAACAATATTCCCCTTCACTTTATAAACCACTCCCACTCCCACCCTACCTCATTTATATTCCCTTTCATAGTGAAACTTAAGGCTTTATGTTTTCACTACCTTCTCCAATTCCCTCCCTCTTAATAAACTTGTTTGAAGTTTTAGATTTACAGAAAAGTTGCAAACACACAAGTTGCCATATAGCCCTCATGCAGTTTCCCCTATTATTAACATCTTACATTAGTATGGTACATTTGTCACGATTAATGAATGCATATTGATACGTTATTTATTAACTACATCCCATATTTTATCTGAATTTCAGTAGTTTTCCCCTAAGTCCGTTTTCTATTCCAGGATCCCATTCAGGACCCATATTCTATTCAGTCATCATGTCTCCATAGGTTCTTCTGGGCTGTGACTTTCCTTGTTTTTGATGACCTTGACAGTTTTGAGAGGTACTGGTCAGGCATTGTGTTAGAATGTCCCCCAATTTGGTTTTGTCTGATGCTTTTCTCATGCTTAATGTGGTGTTACAGGTTTTGGGGAGGATGGCCACAGAAGTGAAGGGCCCATCTCACCACATCACCTCAATGGCACATGCTATCAATATGACTTATCACTGCTAATGTTAACCTTGAACACCTGGTCAACGCAGTGTTTGCTGAGTATCTCTACTTCAAGTTACTCCCCCTCGTTCCATATTCTGTTCTTTGGCAGCAAATCACTACGTGTGGCCTACATCCTAAGACTGGAGTTAAGATTCACCTCCATAGTAGGGGAAGGGAGAGTATCTACATAAATTATTTGGAATTCTCCTGTATGGGACACTTGTCTCTACTCTCCCCATTTATTCAATCATTTATTTATATTATATAAGCATGGAATCAGGGTAATAATTTTATGCTTTGGGTTATAATCCAATACTACATTATTTTTCTGCTCAAATTGTTCCAGCTTTGGCAGTTGGTAACTGTTTTAGTTAGCTCCTGTGTGCCTTTAACATTACCTCATCTTTTTTTTTTCTTAGCAATTCCTTACTTTCTGGCACTTCAAGATTCTCCAGTCTCATCTTGCATTTCCCCTGTCCCAGCCCTAGAGTCAGCCATTCTCCAAGGAGCCCTTGCCCTTGGTTCCTTTTATTGGAGTAAGGTATTGGAAACCAAGATTTGGGTGTGCTCATTGCTACTGGGGTGTCATTGCTTCTAGGCTCTCTCAGTGGACATAACTAGGAAATATACTAATATTTGTGTAAAAACATATCTATAATTATTTTTGTATCTAGTCATCTGTATCTATATTAAGCTAAACATCAGTTCATGCTGATGTCTCCAACTGGAATCCAGTATCACATGACTCATTCTAGCCTTCCCTATATGCTTATCTGTAACCACACTCTCTAATGGTAAGAAATTGGGTTCCCACCATCTGCCATGCTTTATGTGTTCAATCTCAGTACACATATACAGCAGTTTCAGAATTGTAAATCTGTACTCATGTAACAAACAACTTTACCAACCAGAGTACAGTGTTTATGTTGAGTTCTTTGTCTCTATCCTTATGGTTTCCAGTCAAAACATCGTTTTACAATGTTATTGATTCCAGCACCTTCCCCTCTGAGCCCTTCAATCATGTAAGTCATATATTTGTAATAGGGTCTCATTCATACATCACAGGCTGCACTCCAACCTAGACTCTGGCCTCCTAGCTGATTTTTAAAAAAATTTATAAACATTAAGGTTCTTGTTGCTCTAAAGTTTGATGGTACTTTTTCTAATGCACAGAGTCATTGTCACTACACAGCCATATAGATTAGTTCCACCAAACCCCTGGCAACCACTGACTTGTTGTTTGTCCCTATGATTTTGCTTTTAACAGAATGTCATATGAATAGAATCATACAGTATGTAGCTTTTTATGGTCACGCTTCTTTCACTTAGCAAAATGCATTTATGATTCATGCCGTCATTGTGTGAATTAATAGCTCATTCCTTTCTGTTGCCAAATAGTATTACAGCATATGAATGGACTACAGTTTAGTTATTAATTAACCAATTGAAGGATCTCTTGGTAGCTTCCCATTTTTGACAATTATGAATAAAGCTGTTATTCATGTGTGAGTTTTTGCTGTAGATATAAATTTTACAAATTAGTTGGGTGAATACCTAGAAGTGCAACTGCTGGCAAGCCTAAGTCTAACTTTATCAGAAACTGCCAAACTGCCCTCCAGGGTGGCCGTGTCATTTCTGCATTATCCTAGTGATAGGAGTCCGCGTTGCTCTGCATCTTCACCAGCATTTAGTGTTGTCAGGTTGTTGTGGGTTTCTGTTATTCTACTAGGTATTTAGTGCTATCTCATTGTGACTTACATTTGCATTTACCTAATACAAATTATACTGAGCATCTTCTGTCTGTTGATATCTTTCAACCTTTTTAAAAACTGGGTTATTTGTTTTCTTACTAAGTTTTAAGAGGTCTTCAATATATTCTGCATACAATTCTTTTCTCAGATATGTAGTTTGCAAATATTTTCCCCAAATCTGGTTGTTCTTTTCATTCTCTTATGAGTGTCTTTTTTTTGTAATTTTATTGGGGAACAGTGTGTATTTCCAGGACCCATCAGCTCCAAGTCAAGTAGTTGTTTCAATTTAGTTGTGGAGGGTGTTTTTCCAGGACCCATCAGCTCCAAGTCAAGTAGTTGTCTTCAATCTCGTTGTGGAGGGCACAGCTCCTTGGCCTATGTGGGGATCGAACTGGCAACCTTGGTGTTATGAGCCTGCACTCTAACTACCTGAGCTAACTGGCTGCCCATGTGTGTCTTTCACAAAGAAAATATTTTGAATCTTGATAAGAGTCCAGTTTATCATTTTTTCTTTATGGATTATGATTTTTGAAGTTGTATCTAAGAACTTTTTGCTTAATCCAAGGTAGCAATCATGTTCTCCTGTTTACTGACACAAGTTTTATAGTTTTGCATTTTACATTTAGGATTATGATCAACTTTCAGTTAATTTTTACACAAAATTTGAGGTAGCTGTCAAGGTGTTGTTTTGTTTTGTTTTTTCATATGGACAACCAGTTGTTCCAGCACCACTTGTAGAAAAAAATGATACTTTCTCCATTGACTCAACTTTGCACTTTTGTCAAAAATCACTTGACTAGGGCCGGCCTAGTGGCATGTTGGTTAAGAACTGGCTTGAGACGCCAGAGGGCCCTGGTTTGGATCCCATATATGAGGGCCAGTGACACTGCCCTCTACAGCTAAGATGCTCAACCTGGAGCTGGGCTGCTGTGAGTCACCAGCGACAGCGTAGGCTGCAGCCCCTGTGGCAGTGGGTTGCCATGGGCTACTGTGTGTAGCCAGCAGCCAGCGTGAGCGGCCAGCAGCCGCAGTGAGCGGCCATCCAGAAGCTTGCGACTGATCTGCCTCGCCTGGGAAGAGCGCAAAGATGGTGCCAACTTGGGCCAGTGAAGCAATATCCTCCACAACTAGACTGAAGAAAACAACGACAGCAACTTGTCTGTTCCCCTTCCCCTAATTCCCCAGTGCTGTTCCCATCCCCCCAATTCCCCAATAAAAATCTTTAAAAAAATAAAAATAAAGGTATTTGCCTCCACACATCTTACCAAAATGGTTTTCATGTTGCTGCCAAGCACAGTTCAGAAACTTGGAGGCTGTATGGTGCCAATGAACAGTTAATGGAAATAAGCTTTTGAAGTGGGGCTGTTGAGGGGTCCACTGTATAACTTTTCCCCTCAGGAGGTCTTGGATCCTGCTTTGTAGGTAGGACAACCTGTGGCACCACATCCTAGAAAATTCAACTATAAGAAGAAAGAGTTAGTAACAATATAAAACAACTTTTACAAGGCCAAAGGAATAACACTACAGAAAAAACTGTAAAAAATCGATTTAATTACCTCAACTACATAGGATTAAACAAAGCAGAAATTCTGAAAAGCTAAGCATAAGTGGGCTATAACCATTACTTCCACTTTCTTACAAGCCATTCTCATTTTATGCCTTGTAATATTGCTTCTACTTGACTAACTGATAAAAATTCCCTAAATTGAAACTTCCAACCACATATAAGGATTGGTTTTCAAGTTTTATCCTTCTGGGCCTCTTCTTTTGTGACAGCATTGATCGCCCTCACATTGACTCCTTAGAACGTTCTTCTCCACTGATTATGTATGACTGTGGGCAAGCTGTTTAAACTTTCAGTGACTCCATTTCCTGTTTTGTAAAACGAGGACAATAATAATACTTATCTCATGGATTCACTGTGTTGACTAAAGGATTTAGAACTGTGTCTGTCCCCCAGTAAGCTCTATATATGTCAGCTGCTATCATCATCATCATCATCATCATTATCATTGCTATTGTTAGAAATAAACTGTATCTGTTGGTAAAAGCGTCTTGACAACCCTCCTTGGAGTTGGTAACTCCCTGAGTGTCATGGTTTCAGAAAGAGTAATAAAACAACTTCATTTGCATAGGAACTTAAACAAAATTAATTTGTCCTGTGGGAAAAGAGGGGTAAAGATATGCAACTACACAGAAGCTGAACGGTACTTGATGTGAACCTTCTCAGTAACCCCTTAAGGTCACTAAATGCACAAAATGCTTACTTTGAGTGGATGTGTGCATCTGTGTGTGTGTGGGAGGGCGTGCAAAGTGATGACAGGATGAAATTCCATGTTGATGTAGGATGAAATCAATCACTTACCCAGAGGCTATAGCTAAAGACATGGTAGAATTTGCTGAGGACTTAGGGAAGTTTCTGAAATAACAGGTTAGGAAATCAAGAGCAAACGTCAAATGTATTGAAAATTTTACAGGTAGGGGTAAGGAACAGAGCATAGAGAAGCATCTGCTGATATCTGGATTTCATTTATTTTCTCCACTGTTTCTTGTTTCCCAATCTCCTACCTACAGGTACTATCTAAGACAGAGGCTGGCAAATTATGTCCCATGCCTATTTTATATGACATATGGCTAAGAATGGATTTTGCATTTAAAGCATTGTAAACAAACAAACAAAAAGAATATAAGACCAAGACCATATGTGGCCTTCAAAGTCTACAATATTTGCTATCTGGCCCTTCAAAGAAAAAAAAACACCAACCCCTGATCTAATTCTTGATTCTTAATCAAATACTCTTCTTCCTTTGTATGGGATTACTCCCCCCAAAAAACACTCTTAAGCAAATATATTAATTCATTTCTTCATTATTTTACCCAACAAGTATTACTGAACATGTGTATAATAGGTTCTTTCTTAAGTACTGAGAATATAAACATAAATAAGTCAGCAATCCCAGCTACCATTCAAGATGCTCACACGGTCGAGTGGTGCGTTGGTTAAGAGCTGGCTTGGGACACGAGCTCTGAGCAGCAGGGCTGCAGTTCGGACCCCACAATAAGGGCCAGTGACACTGCGCCCTCTACAGCTAAGATGCTGAACAACAGCTCGACCTGGAGCTGGACTGCTGTGAGTCGCCGGCGACGGAGTAAGCTGCAGCAGGGCTGCAGTGGTCTGCCATGAGCTACATGAGTGCCTAGCAGCCAGTGTGAGCAGCTGGCAGCCAGCGAGAGCTGCTGTGAGCTGCAGTGAGCAGCCAACCAATGACCAGTGACTGATTGCCTCACCCAGGAAGAGCACAATGATCATACCAACATGGGCCAGTGAAGCGACGTCCTCCGCAACTAGACTGAAGAACAAAAAACAGCAATTTGTCTACCTGTCTGTTTCCCTTCCTGGATTCCCCAACGCTGTTCCGCTCCCCCAGTTCCCCAATAAAATCTAAAAAAAAAGATGTTCACAATTTAGTGGGGAAGAAAGACAAATAGAGGGTGATAATTACTATTATTTATGATAGTCTTAAGTGCAGAGTACAGTGTGAAGAGGTATAAAGGAGAAAGCAGTTATCTATGCCTGGGAAAACAGGGAGGACTCCATGTGATCAGAGTTATTTGAAGAAGTGTTTCATTGTTTTGTATTTACTTATAAAATAAAACTTGCTCACTGTGAAAAGAAAAAAAACAGGAAAGAAAAGTAATCTAAACAACACAGAAATATATAAAATAAAAATTGAAAGCCTCCTTCCCTCTTATTTGCCATTCCCATTCCTTCAATGAAACCTCATCAACATAAACAGTTTGGAGGACCAACTTCCAGATCACAGACAGTTGAAATCTCCATGCTGCTATATACATACACAATAACCAAACAAATGAAAAAAAACAAAAAACATTTTTGCGTGAACATAGTTTTCAGATTGCTTTGGTAAACACCTAAGAGTACTACTGATGGGTGTATGCTAAGTCTATATTTAAGAAACTCTCATTACAAGAAACTCAAAACTGTAATCCAAAGTAGTTGTAGTATTTTGCATTCCACCAGCAGTGAATGAGAGCTCTCTTTCCCGTGCATCCTTGCTAGAAATTGGTGGTACTGTCAGGTTTCAGATTTAGCCATTTTTTTTAATTAGAAAAACAAATTTACTAGCTGAGCCATCCTGCCACCTGTTGGCAGCTCAGCAGCAGCTCAGCTCAGGCCAGGAATCAAACCGCTGTTGCTCAGAGCTCGCACTCTTAAGTGAGCTCTTAACCAACTGAGCCACTCGGCCAGCCTGAGATATAGCCATTCTGATAGGTGTGTAGTGACACCTCATTGTTGTTTTAATTCACATTTTCTTAATTGTGTATGATGTCGTGTATATTTTCATATTCTTAACTGCCATTTACATATCTTCTTTGGTCAAGTTTATGTTCAGACCTTTTGCCCATTGAACATTTTCAATTAAGATTTTATTTTTTAGAGAAGTTTTAGTTTCACAGCAAAATTGAGGGAAAGAGATATTTTCCATATACTTCCTCCTCTCACACATGTATAACCCCCACCCCCATTATCAACACCACCCACCACAGTGGTAGGTTTGTTACAACTGATCAACCCACATTGACACATTGCTATCACCCAAAGCCCATAGTTACCATTAGGGGTCACTCCTGGTAATGGTGTACATTCCATGGGTTTGAACAAATGTGTAATGACATGGATCCGTCATTATTGCATCATACAGAGTAGTTGCACTGCCCTAAAAATCTTCTGTGCTCTGCCTATTTCTCCCCCCACCATGAGTTTTGAAATGCAGTCCTTTCATTTCTCAGTCAGGTGAGAATATTTTCTAAGTTTTATTGTGATTTAAAAAATTTCACCTACAGGTTGCTTAAAAGTATACTAAATATTTTAGGGAGATTTTCTAGTTTTCTTTTCATTATTATTTTCTACCTTCGTTTCACTGTGGCCAAAAAACATACTCAGTGCAATAGTAATTGTTTAAAGTTTTTGAGACTTGCTGTATGGCCCAGCATAGCATGTATTTTTCTGTGTGAAGAAAAGAATATGTATTCTGTAGTTATTGCATGTGGTCATCTGCATATGGCTATGTCAGTTAGGTTAAGTTTGTTAATATTATTGTTCAACTCTTCGATACAGTTGTTGGTTTTATTTCTCTGATATTCTATCAATTAATGAGGGATATGTGTTGAGATCTCTGATGACAACTGAATTTGTTTGGACACCTGTCAATTTTTGCTTTGTATATGTTGAGTGTTAAGTGTATACATATTAGAATAATTTTATTTTTTTGCTGAATTGCCTCTGTTATCATTATAAAATATCTCTATGTCTAGTAAAGAATCCTACCTTATATTTTGTCTGATATGAATATATCTACATCAGTTTTCTTTTGGGTAGTGTTTGCATTGTATACTTCTTCCACCCGTTTACTTTTAATCGTCTTATATCCTGACATTTAACTATGTCTCTTATAAACAGCACACAGATTTTATTTTTAAACAAGTCTGACAATCTTTGTCATTTAATTGATGTGCTAAGTACATTTTGAGTTTAATTCTACTGTATCAATATTTACTTTCTAATTATTCCTGTTTTGTTACCTTTTCCTCTTTTGCTTTGTTTTCCACTGATTAGTAAGTTGTATCATTCTACTTCCTCCTTTGTTTACTTGTTAGTTATACATTCCTTTACTGCTTTTTAAAAGTAGTTATCCTAGGAATTACAACATTTATCTTTGATTTATTAAATTATGATGCAAATTAGAGAATTTATATTAACTCTATGTATTCTCCTTCCTCAACCATTGTTGTATATTTTAATTACATGCACGTGTGTGTGCACACACACACAGATATTCCACACAACATTAGTATTCTTGTATTATACAATCAATGGGCTTCAGATCTACCCACATATTTAACTTGTCCATTGCACTTCATTCCATGGTATATCTCAAAGCTTTCATTTGGAGTCATTTTTCTTCTTCTTAAAGATCCTTAATATTTCCGTTGGTGTTTGGTGGTAGGTTCCTTAAGTTTTGGACAATCTAAAAACATCTAATTGTTTTTCATTACTGAAAGCTATTTTCACTGGATACAGAATTTTAGATTAACAGTTATGATTTTGAAGACATCTTTCCACTCTCTCAAGTTATTTCTGTTGAGAAGTCAAAGCAAATCTAACTGCTACTTTTTGTAAGGTAATACATCTTTTTCTCCAACTGATTTTGTTTTTTTTCTTTTCCTTTGTTTTTTAAGAATTTTTTACTAAAATACGTCTAGATGAGGTTTTCTTTGTATTTGTTCTGCTTTGAGTTATAGCACTTTTTAAAATCTGTGACTTGATGCTTGTAATAGGCAGAATTCTAAAATGACCTCCAGTGACCCTTGCCATATTATAATCTCTTCCCCTGGAGTGTGAGAGGGACTGTGAATATGATGGAATTTCACATGCATA